GCATGTCTCTGAAATATTAGTTTAAAGATAAACGCTTTTTCAAACTGATATTATTTCAGTTTTGAACCAAAATCTAAAAGAAGATCTTCCTTCCTCCAATTCTAATCGAGCATCTCCAGGACCATTGGATGGACGACAAAGATATTCGGATGCATCGCGCGGGATGCTCGTAATTTCTCGGGTAAGCTCCGGCAAATTAGCTCCGGGCATACGTTACTCTCGCCTTAGTTGTCCCTCTCCTGCGCTCTTCTTAGTCTTCTCCTGCCGACGTTCTCGCCTTTATCGCCCCTCTCAGGAGAAAACCGAGCTTTTCTCATATAGCAAGCCACCCAGAGCCTCGACCATTTCCCTCTCCCGCTCACTTCCTTCCCCTTCCTCCCCCTGCGTTCAACCATCTCCCATACACCGTGGATAAACACGTACACGGCTCGCGAAAGTGTGAGATATCCATGTGACCGTCGTAAGGTGGCGAGACTCGCCCTCTTACCTCGAAAAAGCTCCGGAAGGGAAGAGAGAGAGAGAGAGAGAGAGAGAGAGAGAGAGAGAGAGAGAGAGAGAGAGAGAGAGAGAGAGAGAGAGAGAGAGAGGCAGCTCGACCAGAGAAGGCATTCAAAGTGGGGGAGGATGATAGCGAGATACGTCGTCCTGGACGTAGGACGAGCGCGCCGGCTTCGTGGTTCGACGCGAAAGCTACTCGTTCCAGGATGGGCAGAATCGCGCAAGCTCCGCCCGCAAGCTCCACGGTGTACGCCCAGGGTACCAGAGCTTTCACCATCCGGCGTTCCGTGCCGACCCCGGCAAACCACCCTTGTCAAGGGCCACCGCATCCGATAACGCGGTAACCAGCCACCCCCGCGCGTCTCCCCGCTCCCCCCTTCCCCCGGACACGACCTAGGACGCGCGCGTTCTTCGAATCTCTCCTCCCTCCTCCTTTTCTCCTCTCCTCTACCGATCCCTTTTCCACCCTCCGTTTCCCATTTCCCCCTTTCTACCGATCCATTCGGTACCCACCCACATCACGGTCCTCCGTTGTAGGAGTTGCAACTTCAGACCGCTTTGCACACAGATTGCATCATAGGCATCCGCGGATGCAATCGTTACCCCACTGTCGTGTTTCCTCACCCCGCGTCTTTGCCCCTAGGGAAAGGTGCACGCGCGCGCATGTATTACGGTATACGTGAAAGGTATAGTTGATGCCGGAACGCAAACGAAGAGTGCATCGCCGGACGGGGAAGTTTGAAACGAAGCTCTCGATTGCGATGCTTTATTGGCTTCGGTGTCGTAATCAGTGGCGCGGGATTAAACGATGGGTACGATCAGAGTAATAACGGGAACGAGTAACAAAGCGCTTGATAAAGCTTAGATAGCAATGAATCATGTTCCGAGTATGTATTCGTTAACTCTTAAACATGAATAGCTTTGTTCGTAAGCGCTAATAAATGAGATTGTTATAATGACATATAAAAGATCAAATTAGGTAACATCGATTGTCATTCATATTCTTTATATTTAAAAATTAGAATGAAAGTAATTAATAAAAATTAATCACGAATTTTGTCTTTATCACAGTCACAAAGCGAATTATGAAAGTGATTGATTAAATAAAATGCTGACAATTTTTTTTAAATATTTAATAGAATTTAAATTGTAGCAGGATTGATCAGAATGAGCAGCAGGATTGATCAGATTGAGCAGAACGGATTAAGACTGATGGTGGGATAAGATGCAGATGCGTTTTATGACGCCTCCGATTACCGTCTATCCCCGCGAAATAATGCGATCGGATTTGGCGAGTGTAAAATGCTGTATCGGCGAACGAAATCTCCAGCTAGAAACTCTTGTACTGTCGAGACAAATTTGTCTGAAGATTTACGTACGCGGCTTCTGACGATACGCATGAAAGCCAGCACGACAGACATATGTCGTAGTGAGATATCTTAATGGGAGCGATTCTAAACTTTATTATCAACGAACTTTAAACACGCTGTTGTTTCATAAAGAAGGAAAACATTTTATTTGAGTGCTATATCTAATAATTAAATTGAATGATGTTTGAAAATTTAATTATTATTTCTAGCTATTTAAATTAATTATATATTAGTATTATTATTATTTTATCTACTTAAAGCATTCTAATTTATTTCTCGTCTCTTTTGTATATTTTATTACAATTAAATAATTTTAAATATTAACGTGACAGTTCTATTACGTAAAGGCAATATCAACTAATACGTGTCAAATGGATAAGGCATTATCTATCAAATTATCTCGGTCTAATCTCGGGATTATCCAGTCTGCCAATTGAATGCTATCGGAGCTAATTATTATATATCGGATATACTACGATAATCATTTTTTTCTCTATCAATATAGGTAACAAGAAGTCGATTGTTTTTTATATTAATCGATGTGACTAAGCGATAATAAATATTCGAAAAAATTCTTTATAACGATTAAAATATTAAGCTTTGTTATTAGAATAATTTTACAATGCATTATCTAGTCTTTTCGGAAACGATAGTTTACAATTCATCGTTGGCATCGTTGGTTTCCTATCACATCTCTCCTTTAATAAGCATTCAGGAGAGAAAAACAACAAGAGAGCATCGAATCAAACAGATTTTCATCACACGAGAGGCGACAGATTAGGTAACATTGTCGATAAGAAATTGACGAATAAATTTTCCCACTGGTTACGTAATCAACGCATTATCTATCACGATTCTCGTTGATATTTCCAGTTACATCACAAATACTTCATTTTGTCGTTAATCCCTCGATAAAACGTCCAGATATTTGATTCGCTTAAGCCGCGAAATCATCCAATTCCAATGGATTATCAGATAATAATGCGCTTTTATTTACGCGAACCCGATCGACATCTTTGTTTCCTATCACATCTGACGAGATGAAATCGTACATGTGCATCACATGTACGAATATACGAAAATACATGTGTGTGAAGATACATAAATGTAGAAGGATGTAATCGGGGAAGAACGTCACTCGCGAAGCACCGGAAATTCATGGATACTAGCAAGGATCGGTAATGACATTACTTATTCGTCGTCTATGGAAATTAATTCTCAGAAATCACCTAATCCGACTGTGACATTTACAGCAATCTACGAATACGTACGTACGCGCATGTACTATGTATGTTATTGTATATTCCCTTTGAGATTCTCCGAGAGATTCGAACGATCCATTTTAATAGCGCGATGGGACTCGCACAGTTGACGTATCGAGGGGAATGCTTCTATATTAATTACTGCTACTTCAATCTAGAATTATTTTTATTGATTAAAAAGAGAGGATAAAAAATACATTACAAGAAACCTTAAAAGTTTGAAATCTTTTGCAATTTATATTTTTGAATTTTGCAATAGATGACGGTAGTTTTATTATATTTTTAATTTTCTCTTATTTTTTCTCATATTTTTGTTATATTTTTAATTTTTTTTTATTTTTTCTTACTTTAAATATATTTCAAGTTTCGATATAAAATCACACAAACCATGTTTTTAATACCAAGATACGAGAACAATTTCTTTTTCATATTAATCTGTGCTGTTAATCTATTTGCTTATCGATAGATGTATCTTAATGTTTCAGATTTTAATTACGAAGGTGAAAGAATGACTTTACCAAATCAGTTCCTAATTTGGATCTGTTGATTCTTATCGATTCTTATTCAAATTTTATATTTAATATAATTTTATATGTATTATTGACGTGGATTTGATTATTTTATAGCTTACACATACACGTTACATATTTTAAATATAATTTTTAATATTTCTTATATTATCTTATACCAACATACAGATAATATTATTCAACAAAAAAAAATGGAAATGTTCTAAAAAATTAATGCATTTAAAAAAATACTTTATTTAAAAATATCCCACAAACAGTACATTAATACATATGTGACATTAAATAGAGATTTAATATTTGGATATTAATATTGCATTGTATTAAACGTAATCCATTAATATAGGTTTCATTAATCTCTCAAATAAAATTCTTTCGTAATAATATAAATTTCTGTGTTACACATCAACAAAGAATTGTTCCAATGGGATGCTCCGCAATCGAGACCGCAAGAGATCGATGAGATGGCATGGATATCGCTTGATGCTCCTTCTGCATATAAGCTCGGTCATCGGCAGTCGCAAGTCTGTCGCAGTGAGCGTGTTGCAGGTGAACAGCTGCAAAGGTGTACGTGCATCTTATCTGTAGACACACCCCCGGAACACGATTCCGTGGTGGGGATGTCGAGGTGCAGACGAGAGTGGGGAATCGAGTTCGACGGAGGAAGAAGGATTTCGAAAGGATGGGAGGACGAGATAGGATGAGAGAACGGATCTTCCATGGCGCGAGAGGAAGAAGTATGGATATGAGCGAGGAATTTATGAAACGAGGAGCAGAGAATTAACAATAAAAAAGAGAACAAATATTTCGACAAATCATATCATATTTCGACATATCATTCGTAAACGTAAAACAAGCTTTTCAAACAATAACAAAGTTGTCACAAATTTCTGAGCAGAAAAATCGTACTTTCACTGATTCCAACGACAACAACACAAACGCGTTGAGATGCGATTAGGATAACATACGGCGATATTAAAAAAAAAAAAAAGAAAACATACAGTGATCGAAAAAAAACAACAAGGAAGGAATTAAACGGGACGAACGCGTGGAAGAGAGACGACGCCTTATCCGCAGCGAGCAAGCTTCGGAATCAAGGGAGGATAAGAGGGAGATGCGGAGGACGACGAAGGTGGGTTCCGAGGAGTCGACGAGAGGGTGAACCAGCAGCAGCAGCCAAGTGAGGACCAGAATCAGGCAGACGCGAGACGCGACGATGTCGCGGTAGGTGTTGGTGGTGGTGGTGATGGTAGTGGTGGTGGTGGTGGTGACGGATAGGGGTGGGGGTACTCGCGATCCGGCGCGTGGTGGGGGTTGATACTGACGCTCGCGACGCGGTAGGGCGTCGTAGGGGCAGTAGATCGAGCGCCGCGACGCCACGACGCGCACAGTCGCGGCTCGAACGCCGTTGCCTGCGAACGTGTGTCGCGCTCGTCCTCGGCGGCGCGAATGACATCTCGATTCTGCTCTCTCTCTCGCCGATCTCCATAAGGAACGCACGGGAGGAGAGAGACAGACGGCGATGTGAAGGTGATCGTGTGACTCCTGGACTCGACTCGAGAACTCTCCTATTTAAGAAATCGACTTCGATTTTCGGGGGACGCACATGTTCGCACTCTGACGATTGGTGCCGATTCGCGAAACGCGACTTGACTTTACGACCGGTGATTGATTTGATTTTGTGATCGATGAGAAACTCTGATGAGAAGTGTTGAGAACGGTGTGCGTGACATTCTAAACGAACGGACGGACGGACAGACGAATCCGGACGCGACGATCAGTGATCGGAAAACGGGACGAGACTGTAGATCGCTCTATTTACTTTGGGCGATACTTATTGTAATGAGTTGCGTGGCACGTGTGTGATTTTCCGCACTCTAGTCAGAACGCGCAGTTTAATCGTATCTAACGTTTCACGCTATACCAAATAGAAGTTAGAGCAGTTCGTAGACGCATAAGTTGTTTCGATATAAGAGAAATGATCATCCACATGTTAATCATTAGTATTCAGTAGTTAAAAATTAAGAAACTGTTATATAAATAAGCGGGCATCTCACGCGTCTCTACATATCTGTGATTTCAATCGTGAAGAAATTTTATGTCGCGCGATCATCGATAATTAAAGACACCGGTGCTCTCGTAGTGACGTAAAACTATTTAAAAGGACAAGGATAATCGACAGTTAATTTAGATGCTTTTGCACGCTTTTCAATCGCTTTTGACTACTCGATTAATAAATATCGAAGACAGAATTGACACTAAGAGAATTTGTGAGAACTCGGGAACAATCCGCGATATGTCACGAATGGCGACGACTTGCGAGGTTCAAGAGAATTACTGAGGGCCCCAGAAGGGAATGGATTTTCAGAGCGCAATGGACACTTTCGTAGAGGCATGGATGGCTGCTAACACGAAGACGGATCAAGTACAGGTAACACTTTGCTTGAATAATTCATTATCGATTATGCATATAATTATATTATTTTTCTCTAAAAACAACTTGAGAACTTCATCCTAAATTTTCAACAGCGCATGCATAATAGTGAGAATCTAAAAAATATAAAATAAATATAAAAAGTTTAACATTTATTACATTTTTTGAAAACAATATTAATTGGAAATATATAAAATATAAAATACAAATAATATTAATTGAAAATATATTTATTGGAAATAGAAACATAATTTAAAAAAGAATAGTTTTTTAATACAATAATTTAAGGATGAAAAATAGAATAAATAAAATTGATTAATATATTTTATAATTTTCCAATAGCTTTTTTTACAGATGAAGTCCTCAAATTATTAATAATAAAATTGAAGGCCCGATTGAGGCCAATATCGTATTATGTAGGACCAACTTATCGATTGAATTAATTTTAATAACCGAGTTGATAAATATATCAAAAAAATTTCGCAATATTAAAAATTAAATATTTCTATAATAAAAATATTTCTATAATAAAAATATTTCTATCAAAACATGTGTATAACAAACTTGATACGGTATATAAAATTTCGATAAGATGGTTTAGCCGTGGATTAGCCTGCCAATATCGTTTTCGGCATTCGGTCTGCCGAACTTATTATAAAAATAACGCAGCGTCTATATTTGGTGTCGACGAGTGCGAGGGGTGAGAAGCAACCCCTTTCTGACATTACACAGCCAATTGGCCACCCTACCGCTTCTTGCACCTCTCTCGTTTTCTCTCTCTTTCTCTCTAAACGCGCTTTCAGTCCGCTAATTCTTCGTCATCAATTTGGCACATTCTTTCGCATCTCAAAGCGGCCGGCGTTTTACGTGTAATGCGCGATTATCCAGGTGCCTAAAATAAGTAAACAAGGCGTCATTTTTAAGAAATAATAAAGGAGAGAAATTCTCAATTTAAATTTGTTCAAAAAGAGATTTTTTTCATGGCTATGATATTTATAAACATCAAAGTTTTACATTCCAGCAGCCCATTAGAGAAAACAAACTTATTATTACTTATTTATAGTTGCATTATGCCTACAATCTTAGAGAAAATAATAATGATTCGTTCGAGTGTCCCAAGAAATATATCGTTCGGATTCGATTTTTCGCTTAAAATTTGCGAGCCAAATTCAGACATGAATCCAACATGTTGTATATCTCTCTTGACGATCTCACAACGAAAGGACGACGAAGGGCGAGGGATAATCCTTGGCAAAGCCGCGACTCGCGTGTGTGCTGTGTGGACGAGCGGCGCGTACGTTTACACGTGTACGTATCGGGGGGTCACGGGTTCTGACCACGATACGGATGTGCCCCTGCCTTCTTCCTGTGCCACGACCATGTTCATGTTCTGACATTCAGCGAAATAAGACCGTATGTCTCCATTGACCGGTGGATCTCTCGATCCATAGCCGCCTTTGGTCAACGATGGCTATCGAAAAATTACCAGTCAGAAGTCGCACGAGTTATAAGTTTCACATTTATATAAAAATTATCGCGATAGTTAGATTAACATAGATTTATCGTAAATGAGAATCGCTCTTCGTTTCGCTATTAATTCAACATTTTATTCATATTTTATCTTCGTTATCTTGCAATAAGATAACGAATAAAAAATCGACACATATCGATAGATTATAAATTTATTAGACTTTCTAAAAAATAGTAATATTAAAATATTATATTAAGTATGTCATGTATAGATATTTTATGTGGATTGTTATTTTATTTATATTTTGTCGCGCATAAAAATTGCCGTATAAAGAATCAATTTTATTCGTAATCATTATTAGTAAAAATATACACGAAATAAATTTTTTAAAAAAGAAGGGCATACGCATTCCGAGAAATGCGTTGTCCATAGGCGTAGTCAAGAGAAAAGAAGTGAAAGAAATCAAATATAATCCCATAATACTGTTACTTCGAAATAGGCTTTGCTTGGTCATGGTATTAATGTACGAAAACTCATTTCATCTATAGTTTACTCCTCCAGGACGGAAGGACAATACACTCGGTTGTAATTACAGGATGTGGCGAAAAAAATTTGAATTCAGCTCTCATAATTTCCACTGTGGTCACTTAAATTATGTCGCTAAAGAAAAAATTAATATTCATAAATGATAGCAAGTGTCGTAACAAGGAAGAGGACGAGACGAGGATCCGAGTATGGTTAGTAACCGAAAAGATATGGGTGTGGCAGAGTGTTAATTAAAGTTTCCATCTAGATCTCGATAGCAGCCGGAAAGAGCGATCACTCGATAAAGATAATAGATCTTGATTCAAGTTCGCGAAATTGAAAAAGAAAAGAAAAAACGGCCGAGTTTATGATCTAAAATTTTCACACCGCGCACGCATCTCTCTTGTATTCCGATACATGAAAAATACGTCCTTGCAGCGCGTTACACGCAGCACTGGCTATGCACGAGCGCCACGTGTGTACTCGAAAGTGCGTCGTATGCATGTGCGTGTACGAGGATACGTTTGAAGCACGCATGGTCACGGTATTTGACCACCCTAGCTGCCGGAATGATTGTAATCCATCTATCCGGCCACCGAAGCCGATATATCAAACGCAGGTAGAGTGTACGTTCGCGGACTCCTCTCTCCGTAAACCTTTTTATATTGCCTTTTTATGCCAACAGCCACGATCTTTTGTCTTCTCGGCGAATATATTTTGAAGAAAAATATTAATTACGATGTTAAGAGGGAACCGCGTCGAGAAACTTTATTACACGTAAAAAATAAGGTGTTTATTCTCGTAACGTAATAATTATCTTTTAAATCAAGATGAATATAAAGCCATTTTTTTTCTCTCCAGGATCAAAATGCATAAGTAACAATTGATAAATATTTCTTTCTCGATTTAAGAAAATTTCTCGGAAATATTGTTTGCGATGCATTACGTTTGTTCCGAGTCCTTGTGCAAAGATATTATTAATTTCTGTTTATGGATGTTAATATGAATAAGAACGTCTCTCTCGGGTAAACTTGAAATGCATTTAGAAATTTTTTTCCTTGCATTAATATTAATGAACCGTTCGCGTATGTCGCGTATGTCGAAATGGATTGTAATTTTGGAATGTATCCTCGTATCCTCGCTGCTTTCTCTGATAAATCCTCGAAATCTCAATGCTTATAACCGGTACAAGATTGTATCTTTACTGCTTTCTAATCTTTAGCTGTACCATGTTTTGCACTTAGGAACGAGATGTCTGACATCGCGGTCGGCAACAATTTACGTAACGCGATCGCAAACGCATCAATCCGCGGATTATCTGTTGCGAAGAGGGAATCAATTATCGCCTGGGGATATCATTCGTTCTGATATTTTGATAAGTATGATTAGAATATTGCAGATTAATGTGGATCGCGTCACATTTAATTCCCTCATATGATGATTGTCGAAAGATAGCCAAATTATCGTGATGAAATAGATAGTGGATCGTGTTAAATTTTATTAAATATAAAAAAGAGAGAGAAAGAGATTAATAAATTATTATTAGTACATAATATTGCATATTTATTATATCTATTATAGAGATTAAGAATTAATGGAGTATTTTTAAATGCTTCATAAAAATGTGCCAAAAATAGGTTGTCTTTAATTGATTCTTATATAATTGATTTTTTTATATAATTGATTTTTAACAATTATAAAACGATTGCCTTGATTATTCATAATTTTTACAAAGTTTTGTACAGAATTTAAAGAAAATAATGTCCGACTTTATTTTCAAAATTTTAGAAAAATTTTAACTCCGATATTATATCAAATTAACTTAAATCATTTACGACTAATTAAAATCGAAATCTCTAACAAATCGATGAGAAACTTGTAAAATATCCACCATAAGAAGATTTGTCAGAAATAAACGAAACGAATCCTTGTCTGATTTCAAGATTCAAACTGGAGTTGTTGAATTTTCATAAAACAAATTAAATGCTGGAAACTAATCGCAGAATTTTGAAAAAATTTCAAATCGAGGGACATCGGAGCTATAAATCGCCAATTATTTGCGATTGATTATTTTACAAAAAGTACTGCTGAAACGAACAAATCTTGCGTCTTAGGAAACGGCGGCGCGATTTTTCATGACGCGAGCTCTCGCGACTTAATGCGGCATTCGAAGAATTAATCAAGACGCAAGCGAGACGAGAGTGCTCGGTATAATTTACACGCATCGAACATCGCAAGAGAGAATAGGATCCTCTTCAACGAAGAGGCGAGAGTGTGTCGCGTGGATTTTTTCCTTCTCTTTTTTTTTATGAGAGTAGAATTATAATCATACGAGAAACGCGACGACGCTGTCGCTGATGTAACACGCCGAAAAAGGACCACTCGTTCAATTGGCCCAACGTTAAAGACCGTCGTCGCGATTCGATCTTACGTAAGCTCGTTGACGCGGTGCGATGGTGCTTCGATCCGGCGTTTCGGAGTAAAAGCATCGTCGCAAGTTAATTTCTGGAATCCCGTCAAGCTCGCACGTCCTCTCCCTCGCGGCTCCAGGTCTACGAGGATTCTGTGCTCGGTCAGCGATTAAGGTTATCGCCTTAACGGGAAACACACCAGCAGGAAACGCGCCGTCGCTCCACGCATATCTCGCGTACACCCGGTAGATAAGCTGATCCGCCGATAAACGCCTGCCGAATCGTCGTCGCGTTTGCGACGCGGCGCGAGCGGGGAGCGAAAGATATCGCGGTTAATTATTTAACATTTCGTTTTTATTGTCGGCGCGATTGAGACACGTCCGTGCGATGTGTGCAAACATAGCTCATTCGAATTGGAAGCGGTCCTTCACGCAAAATCCATTGTCTTTTACATCAATGTCGACGCGAATATTAACAAGTAAGTTCTTTTGAAAACATTTTGTTTTGCTCAATTTTAGCAATTCTGCCATCATTAATATTTAACTACGATAAAATTTAATTGCGAGTAAAATATAATTCGATACGATACATAATTTGCTAATAATTAAATAATTTACCATAATTATTTCAACATTATTATAAATCTCAATTTAATTGACTTAGTTTTTATTTTAGTATCTTCGAAAAACGGTACTTTGATATGTCGTTATAAATAAATTAATTCGCGCGCAATTATAATATACTAGCGTAAAATGAATTGATAGCAAAAAATATTTTTATCGATTCGAGCGAGCAAAGTATTTCGGGCAGGAGAGAAACCTGTGGCCTATAAGCCTTTGGACTACGCGATTCCCCGATTCGATGGGAGGCCAAGCGAATCTTGGACCGTGGCGAGAGCCGGATCGATGAACGAACCGAAATTCCTGATTTTACGACAGCGGCCCGTCGTAACCCCTCGCGCGTCAGAGTTACCGCGATATCACTTGGACGTTAGCCGGATAAGCCGCTAACCCCCATCCACCTGTTGCCCCTTCTTACACGTTCTCGCGTTTCGATCTCGGTTCGTTCGTCTTCATTCCTCGCGCGTCCACGAGCGAGCCGAGGGGCCCCTCTCGTTCGTCCTCCTTCGATCCACGTGTAGACCCTCGGGGCCTCGTCTCTCTTCTGTCAACGTGACGCGCCGACTCTTTCCTTCTCTCTTTCTCGCTCACCTCCGGCACCTCGAGGCATCTCGCTTCTCCGCCACTTGCCTCCCTCCCCCTCTTTTCTTCCTCTTCTTCATCATCTTCTCGCTTACTCCCATTCCAGGCCCGGGTCTTCAGCGGTCTGACGTGTTTTTTGCGAGTGCATACCTCGAAGCAGCTCCCGAAACAGTAGCTGGTACCCGGTACAGTCCGGGCAAGTGAAAAAATCGCCGGTCGATCCTTTGCAGTTGATCGTTAGATTGCCCTGAAACGACGTATGGAGAAAGATATTCCAATAAAATAAAATATTTCGTTTTTTGTCGGCTTGGATAACTCTGAATATATATATTTTTATTTCCAAATTTTCCGCAAGTAAAAGGATACAAGAAATGTACTTATCTCGAAAGAAAATCAAGAAACTGTAAATTAAAACGTATCTCGAAGGATTTAATAATTTGCATAGATATAAAATGGCGACGAAATCTGTACCATTTGCAATCTATTTAGTCAAAGATTAAGATTATTATCTCGGAAACATATAAGTAATTCACGTTGTCAATCATCAAAGATCTCGTCGGATGCGCGAGCTTGGCGGCTGATTAAATTCTATAATTTCGTAATTAAATGACCGAGATTAAATAGCCGCGAAAATGGCTGATTGCGAGCGAGCACGAAACGCGGCCGGAAATCGCGAGAGATCAGAGGGTTAAACGCCGCATCTCTCCCGGCTCGTTTTGCCGCTGACGCTCGTATTCCAGGAGGCGTCATCATCGACGAGATCCAGTTTTACAGACAATGAAAACCATCGCGTCTCGCGCGGTGCATTTCGCACATCGGCGGCGGCGGCGGCCGCGATGGTGATGGTGTAGGATTGTCGCATTCTGGGTCCAGTTGACCCCAGTTGACACCGTGGACGGCTTAGCCGTTAGTGTTAAGTTCAGTTCACTCATACATAAATCTAAGTCCGCGCGCTTATGCCTTAGCCTGGCTTTTTGCCGCGCGGAATTGAGCACGTGCTCAGATTTCATCGGCGACGAACGCTTAGATCATCCGGCTCGCTGCTCTCCTCTCGAATGCGAGCCGAAACGTCGCAGATTCGACCGCGTTTAGGCGACGCGACACACTCCCATCTCCGTGAATTGCCGCCGAAGGCTTTTTTAATCGCCGCATTGCCTCCAATCGCGCATAGTTAATTCGTACACGAGCTGTTTTTGAAAAATAAATTGCCGCGACGTACGTTTATTACAAAGTACATTTCGCTAGAAATGCCAAGGCTGCTTATTGTGTAGTTTCCCTAAACACATTATCGCTATAAAAATGTCGTGGCAATTTTTGTAGTTTTTAAACACATTTTTTTCTTGGGAAAATTTTTATGATAGTCTAAGTGGCGCGAAAAAAAATTATGCGGTTGTTAGAAATATGACGTGTGTGTGTCTGTGCGCGCCAGGGAATTTTGTCATCAGAGATTAAGAGCAGCGAAGGATTTGTATTACCCTGCGGCGATTACCATGCTCTCGTCGAGATTCTGTACAAACCGACGATGAAGTAGACATCAAAATAATTTACATAATGTGCGTAGAAAATATTATTCTGCGACTTTCCTAAAAAGAATGCAAAGAGGTCGGAGGAGAACTTGTTGCCCGAGTAATAAGCGTAAAAATGAGCAAATCATGCTTTCCGATATTAAATTTTTTCCGCGTCATCCTCGCAGTGTATATAAAAAGATTTTCTTACCTATATTCTTATATACACCGTAAAGCTTATCGAATTACTCTATATTACTTTCTCATCTTCGTTTAATAATCGAAATGGATGGAATCGGTTCTAGCTATTTTCATGAGAAGGTGGGGATAATTAGGATAAACACTACGCTTTAATAATGGATACGACAATGACCGATATCATTCAGAGTGATCGCATCGAAATTATACCTATTATTCAAAATAAAAATGTTAATTGATATTTCTCTGCGGTTACAGAGCCAAGCATTGGCATTGACACATAAGGCCTCGCCGCCATCGAGACCGAGCAGCGTATCCTCGTTACCGAGGAGCCCTCAGTCTCATCAATCCCAGCAGTCTCAGCCGCAGAATACACCTCAACCACCATCGGTGCACCCGCTGCAGTCGCAGACACCTCTCAGTGCACCCCAGACACCGTTCTCCGCGCACAACCAGCACCCGAAGCAAGAAATCAGCGCCAGTCCCAAGCAGGAGGGTTTCGATCTCAGCAAATCCGCCTCCAGCACAGGTAAGTTTTTCTCTTTCTCTTCTTTACCATTTACATAATTAAGTACCGATCAATCTATCAATTATCAGCTGAAAACGGAATTATGATACTTCGATTATCGATTTTATTTTGACAAAATTTAAGAATCTCGGAAAATCTATTCAAGATTGATTATTTTATAATCAATTTTCAATATTATTTTTCATAACACGTTACGTGTACATATAATTTATATAATAATATAAAAAGAGATTGTGAAATAATCGAGTCTGGCTCTTGTGTACTTCGTACAATCCACGTTCGCTTCGTATTTCTTCATCGTCCAGTCCCTACTTTCGAGTACATCTGTGTACACTACATTACCTCGAGCTGCATCCCGGGTTTGACGGCTTGTCCGGGGTTCCCGCGGCCGTAAATCGTCGATTCGCCGGGCGAATTAAGTTACCTTTTACGAGAAATGGGGGTCGTGTGAAAACAGCTTTAACGTCTTTACAGCGTGGTCGGGATTTGTTCGGGATGACGGTGGCAAGGAAAATGCGGTAACGATGCACCGATGTCACGTCCATTAATGCACTCCGTCGAACGGGAGCAGCGTTAATCGTCGTCACTATTTCGCGTCGATATTTTGCGTAATAAATAAGCGAGCGATATATTTGAAATTTATTCAGTAATTTTGTTTCTACCATCTCAAAAAAATCTCGCCTTATTTAATCAATTAATATTTTATAAAAAAAAGAAAAAAGAAAAAAAAGTATACGCTTGAGGTATTTTTATCGTTAATGTATTATAGATAGTAATAGTATGAAATATTGAAGTGACAATTCTACAATGACAGAATGATTTTTGCTGCTACTTATCTACTGTAAAAGATTTAATCGCTCAAGAAATATGAAATGAATAATATAGAGAGCCTATTGTTCAAAATATTTTTATTTCATACGACAATCTAGGAACTTAGTTACTGTGTGTCGCGTCATAAAGTCCATTTCCGCCGAGGATGACGAAGACGTATATACTCGATGGAGGTCGCGCGAGAGGGGTCGTTAAAGCTCGTAAACGAGATAGACTATCGGCGGAATTTCCTTGATCCTCGATAATGCGGTGGAAACAATTTGTACGCGTTCGTTTATAGTGAGAATTAAACGCCACATGAGCAGAAATGCGACGTTTAGCTTTCATGTAAAATTCGTAAAGAATAATGGCCGTGAGAGAATTAAATCATATATGACAAATTTATTAAATGTTTGTGACGCTAAATGAAAAATCCGGTTTATTAATTATAATTTTTCGGATGCAAACCCCGGGGTTCTTCTCTGTTCGAAAATCATTTCAATATATCGGAAAATATATATTTGCTATTTGCTATTTTGCAATTATACTTAACGACTGATAACATAATATTAACGATATGTTATTTTTTCGAAAAATATTTATTTTCCAGAAAATACTTATTTATTGATATCTGAACTTGTTTTAAATATATTGGATAATATAAGTGATACTTTAAAAATAAAATGTTAATGCATAAAAATCAAATGTTTGCAAAATGAAAATAACATTTGTGTAGAAAATCGATAATTATAATCAAAGGAACAATCATAATTGAATTTAATTTAATCTATCATTTATATTGTCGTACGACTTGTCATTAAATTAATAAAATTCTCTATCTTTGCTACTGCAATATCTTCTTTATAATGTTGCTACGAGAAGAAAGAACACGGAGAAGACTAGTCAAGTTAAATTGCTAAACTGCGTCTCCCCCATAATACTTTTCTCAGACTAACTTTGAGAAAAATCGGTTTCAAGAATTCTTAAGAGAAGGTTCACTGTTGATCGTGACGATACGAGGGCATGCAGGAATGCAAAGAGCCGAGAGTACATATTTGCTTTTCCAGTCCCGACCTACGCGAGGAGAAAAGGGTGGCGCGACGCGATGGGGGATGCGGGTGGACAGAAGCACGCACTTCCTAAATCTACGGATTTCGAGGATCCCCTTAAATCTCCGTGCGTCATAGTTAATCCTTCCCCCTCTCTGTGCACGTGGATCCTTTTCCTGCCTTTTCCAGTTCTTATCTCCGCCTTCCTCGTCGACTACGGTTTTTTTAAATCCTACGAAAAGCGCGATCCACTTATTCCTAACTCGGACGATAATACGGAGAATAAAATTTATAGCATAGAGAGAAGACATTCTTGTACGCGATAAAGGCGGATCAATATTTTAAATCATTATTTAGGATATTTTTATTATTATCGCGTATACAATACCGTTAAACTCTGAAACGTACATAAATAATACAATTATGATCTTTGATTACGTTTAATATCTTAACATTGCAAATAATAATAATTATAAACAAGAAGATAGAAAAAGAACAAACGCATTCAAAGATGAATCCGTACCGCCTTTCTGCTAAAAAAATTATTTTACGTCGGCACATATCAAAGATGAGTTAGAAAGAGAGATGAGATTTGTTCCCTTTTACTCCGCGAGCCGTAAGCGTCAGCGCGGAATTAGGATAATCGTCCGCGTGTGTTCTGTCCGGATTTACCTGGACGTCTATATACGCGTATCCATGTGCACGGATGGAGGGTCGGAGACGAGAACGAGGTGCAGCCTTCGAGAAGAGGAGGAGGACGAAGGAGGGGAGAGAGAAAGAGAGAGAGAGAGAGGATATTGTGACCCTTACGAACTAATCCGGATTAAATTCAAATCCCTGGCTATGCGGCTAGGCGACCTGCGAACGTCTATCGTGGCGTCTTGCGCCATACGATCGGACTCGTTACGCCGTTTAACCCTATACGCGATGCTCCCTCCCGGGAGAGATAGCGCCTTTTGTGGCGGGCTGCCTTTGAATTCCCACCATTTTCGTTCCCGCGTCGCTCGACAGGATGAAAAAGTACCCGTGGCATAAAAGAGAGTTTTGATTTAGTAATCTCCAAGCTTGCGCGATACAAAAAAAAAAGGAAAACTCGGTCGGGGAATATATATTCATAATTCGCGGAAAAAAGTCGCAATAAGTACTTGGAATTTTCTCTCCGTAAACTAAAAAGAAAATATATATTTGATATTTGTAAAGTATAGAGAACGTAGCGTAATCCAGATGTATATACGGAATTATTACGCCCAACTATGGCTTTACGGGTTGACAAAGATCTCGTTTTTGAGATTTAAATTTATTTCAGTCTTCGGAATCTTTTCTATTTATAGAAATAATAGCTTCATATTGAGAAAATATAAATGACCTAGTAGTAAATGCAATAGCATTTAGCGAATTTATATATTTTGTAGAACGTAAAGCAAAGATTTTATAAATTACAGGAAATGATTTTCAATACTAGAAAAAAACATGCATTTTATATTATTATAAGTTATATTATATTTGATAAAATTCTTTGCAAAAAATTAAGTATTTAAAAAGAAAAATCAAGAAAAAAAAAAAAAATAACATAAGAAAATTCAAATAAAAAATTTATGTATCGTTTAATGAAAACGTTCATAAATTAAATTCATTTATCATTCAATCGACATGAAAAAATGAAATGCGTACGAAAATTGACAGAAATTTATTATCTTTCGTGTCTCTTACGATTCGAGAGTGATTCTCTCACAGGACGCCCTGTATATGTTCTAGCTTTCAACCTGACCACACGTTAAGCTAAAGGCAAAATCGATATCATAACTCGCGGAGAGCAATCGTGGGCCATATTGCGGATGGATATTTCTCACACGTATATACATACAAGCGTGCGTGAACATACGCGTTTTCCTATTCTTAATATTCTTATATCTTAAACTTTTTCGAGCGAATTTTCATGAAATATTTTCAAAATTTTACTCTCAAATAAAGATCAATACCGTTAAATTATTGATATCATGCATATGAACGTTTGCATTCAATTAAAAAAAGTAGCTTCTTCCGGAAAGCAATTATGAAAAATAACTTATAACTTTTGTAAACTTATATATATATATATATATATATATATATATATATATATAAATTTAATTCCAAATTGATTGTAAAAAAACTTTATCATCATTAAAAAAGAGAAAAAGAGAAAAATCATCATTAAAAATCATCATTAAAACAGAAAAAAAGAGAAAAATATATACAGGTATATATATATATGTACATTTTTCTCTTTTTTCCTTTCTTATTTAATGATGATAAAATTTTTTTACAATCAATTTGGAATTGAATTTTTTGGATACTGCCTTAAAAGAAGGAAAGAAAATTAAGTGACAAATCCAATTTCGAGATAGCCATTTACAAATACATATTCGAATATATGACTATCGATTAAATTCTAATATCTTATAATACATATATTAACTGGAAGGGAAATTTAGTTAATTATTTGCCGTGATACAACATGGATAATGAGAAGATTATAATGTAATTTTGGATGTAACGAAACTGAAAAACTCGCTTAAAATTTTCAAGTGTTGCGCATTATCCGTGATATCAGCAACAATGGTTATCATGTACATAACGTTTAGTCCAATGATTTTTAATCTCTCAGTTTGGATTTTGAAAAAAAAAAACATATCGGAAATAATCTCCATGTACTACTTTTACGCACTTTAATGCGAATGCATATTGAAAGTTTGCAATAGAGCGCGTAAAATGTATGCTGTTTTAAATAATGTAACGCTGGAAAAATACAGAAAACATCGATCGACGCAGTCGTATTGAAACGATAAATTTCGATACGATAATATCCTTGAATCTCAACTCTGCCCTATTCAAGTTTATCTTACTGATAAGTTACCGTGCGCGAAAAGACAGATGATTTTTATCATCGCTTCCATAAAATATCATGTCGAAACAAAAACCTAAAACAGAAATATTAATAATAATTTCGAGTCAATTCTAGATCGATAAGTTGCCGTAAATCCGATAAGTTGCCGAGTGGCTTTTAGTCGAAAAAAAAAAATCACAAAGACCAACGGACGCATACTTCCGGATACACCCTGTAGACAACGCGCTCCGCATCGTCGGTGGAGCACACACAGG